TAGGGTGCCCGGTAAACCCTAAACCCTAAACCCTAAACCCTAAACCCTAAACCCTAAACCCTAAACCCTAAACCCGGTAGCAGCAGGGAGCCCTTGGCGACTTGAATGAACAGCGGTTGCTTCTTGGAGGAGTTTGTACAGCTCTCTGAGCTCTAAGCCCTGCAGGTTTAGGGTTTAGGGTTTAAGGCTTAGGATTTAGGGCTTAGGGCTTTACAACCATAAGTAGGTTTCAGTCTCTATGGGGGCTCCCCAAGTCCCCCCGCTCAGAGAACACATGGAGGTCCTGATGCTGAATTGTGAGCTTTTCCTTCGTAGACAAGTTGGTGTGAAGAAGATCCCATACCGTTCGATGACCCTACACCCAAAACCCTAAACCCCAAACCCCTAAAGCCCTAAACTCCTAAACTCCTAAACCCTAAACTTGCCCTAAACCCTAAACCCTAAACTTGGCCTAAGCCCTAAACCCTAAGCCCCAAACCGAACCCCAAACCCCAAACCCTAAAACCTGACCCTAGCCAACTTTCTAGCTCATGGCCTGGGGATTTGAAAGTCCACCGAAGGGAAGAGGTTCTGAATGGGTTTAGGGCTTCGGGGCTTGGGGGTTCAGGGTTTAGGGTTCAGGGTTTCGGATCTAAGGCTTAGGGTTTAGCATCTTAGGGGATTTCGGGGCATCTTGGGGGGACTTGGGGCGTAGAAGTTCCTAATGACCGATTCGGGACTTAGGGTTCGCAGCAGGCATGCAAATCCATCATCCACACGGCCGCGCTGCACGCGCCGAACCTCGACTTCTACGCCGAAGCCGATGCTTTGCCGCACCCCAACAACCCCCCAAGCCCTAAGCCCTAAGCCCTAAGCCCTAAGCCCTAAGCCCTAAGCCCTAAGCCCTAAACCCTAAGCCCTAAGCCCTAAACCCTAAACCCTAGCCCTAAACCCTAAACCCTAAACCCTAAGCTCTCAAATCTTGCAAGCCCCCAGAACACCAGGACTCTGGGCCCTTCTCGATCTGTATTTCTCGTGGATGCCTGGATCCCCTTGTAAACCCCACGAAGACCAAAGGCGCCCTTGATATTCTTAGGCTGCTCTGCAACCTACATAGCCCGAAACATCAACCCCCCCCCCCCCCCCCGCCCCTCCCCCCCGAACCCTATATACATTAACCCAGTAGTTTTGAGAATCCCAGAAATGCAGGCCACCTAAGCAAAATGGGGGGTTCTACAACGACAGCCCTTCACGCTGGTAGGTTTGGGATTCTTGAGGTCGACCCTGCAAGGCAAATGGTTTAGGGTTTAGGCTTTCGGGTTTAGGGTTTAAGGTTTAGGGTTCCTTCAACTGAGGAGTTCGAGCGTGTGAACGTGACCGGGACCGACAACGTGATGCGGCGCGCGGATGACCTGCAGATGCTTCTCGGCTCCCTACGCCCGAAGCCCGAAGCTGTAAACCCGAAACCCCAAACCCTAAATCCTAAACCCCAAGGCTGAAACCCCAAACCCCAAACCCCAAATTCTAAACCCTAAACCCTAAACCCCAAACCCCAAACTCTCAACCCCAGCTTGTCGAGGGCGAAGGTGGTTGGGTTAGCTACTATTTGCTTTCGAACCCCACAACACGAACATGTTTTGCCCGTAAGGCTAATATAGGGATTATTCTCTCTTTGTTTTGGGGGCAAGTAGTAGTACCCCTAACCCTAAACCTTAAACCCTAAACCTAAACCCCAAACCCTAAACCCTAAACCCGCAGTTCAGGGTGCTGGGTTTGGTGGAAATCAGGGCGCCAGGGTTTGCGGAATGACTCCAAGGCCCGAAGCCCAGAAGCCTCTGAGCATAGGGCCCTGTGCAAGTTGGGGTTTAGGTTGTATAGAGGGTGTATAGGGTTTAGGGTTTAGAGTTTAGGGTTTAGGGTTTAGGGTTTAGGCTTAAACCCAGAAATCAATGCAGCAGTCTTGGGCGCTTTCCGGGCTTTTCTTCAGGTATCGAGGGTTTTGGGGCCTTGGGTTTCGGGCTTCAGGCTCCTCACGTTTTAGGGTTTGGGGTTTGGGGTTTAGGATTTAGGGTTTAGGGTTTAGGGTAGCAAGCCTTAAGAGTAAGCCCCCGATATCCTTCGCTGGTCCCTTAACAGTCACTTGTCGGCTGCTCCTCCTTGATGTAGACTTCGCCTGGGACCCTGAATCTCTCAGCCCCGCTCGTTGTTGTCGGGGATTGAGGCATCCATAGTACGGAGCCGTGCATGTCCAGTATGTCCCACGAAGCCGGAGCAAAACCCGCTGAACCCTAAACCCTTAACCCCAAACCCTTAACCCTGAACCCTAAACCCTAAACCCTGAACCCTAAACCCTAAATCCATAATGTAGGGAGCAAAGCCTTCAACGCTAAACCTCGAGAAAACCTTGCAAGACCTGGGAGCACCAAGGACCGGAGTCGTGTTCTCTTCGACGACTTCCCTGATGAACACGGCGGAGGCTCTAGGGTTCTAAAGGGTCTAGGGTTTGGGTCTAGGGTTTAGGGTTTAGGGTTTGGGGCTTAGGGTCTCGGGTAGAGGGGTGGAGGCATTATGCGATTTTAGCGTATTCGTCGGCCTCAACCCTTTTGAAAACCCACAGTTAGCCCTGGACTTCAAAGCCTTGTTTGATCCCCAAGCCCTATCTTTCTAAACATAGAACGCGAGAAGTCCGAAGATTGTTTGGCCCTAGCCCCTATGTGGAAGCCCTGTTGACTTCGTAAGTAGGTTAGCAAGCGGTTTTGGGGATTCTTCTAGGGCTTCTAGGGGATACTAAGTAGACCTACTAAGTCAAAAAGACCCAAACCCTAAACCCTGAACCCTGAACCCTAAACCCTAAACCCGAAACCCCAAACCCTAAACCCGAAACCCTAGACCCTAAACCCTAAACCCTAAACTTGGTCGCCGAAGCTGGAACAGCGGAGGTGAAGAGGCAGTCTGCAACAGAGACCGTGGTCCTCAAGGCGGCCAGCAGCAAGTAGGGTTTAGGGGTTAAGGGTTTAGGGTTTAGGGTTTAGGGGTTGTGGAACTTGAATGATTTAGGGTTTCGGGCTCAGGGCTTCAGAGTTTTTTTGGGCTTAAGGCATGGGGGAAAGACCCTTGCAACAGGGACCCTAAAATACAAGTATTGAGGAATGGAGCTGCGCATGAAATTTCTAGGGACTTGTTTTCACAAGGCGTACGTATACATACATATATAAATATGTATATATATATATATATATATTCATTTGTTTAACGTTTACTTGTCGTGAATATTTTCCATGCTTATTCATGCGGTTTGGGGTTTAGGGTCACTCTAAAACATATAAACCCTAACTACTTCATCCTGTTGGGCATATGGGATTTAGGGTTCAGGGCTTGGGTTTCAGGACTTTGCCACACTTTCTCTGGATTCGACATTCCACCAGTCAGGCGGACCACTCTACAGCCAACACGCGCGAAACCCTGAATCCTAAACCCTACCCTAAACCCTAAACACTAAACCCTAAACCCTGAACCCTGAGCCCTGAGCCCTGAACCCTGAACCCTGAACCCTGAATCCTGAACCCTGCCGAAACCGAACCCCCAGACCCATCACGCGATGCCGGCAGGCTTCCGTAGACTACGGCACCCCCAGGTGGGGGTTTAGGGTTTAGGGTTTAGGGTTTAGGGTTTAGGGTTTAGGGTTTAGGGTTTAGGGTTTAGCCCTGAACTCTAAGCCTTCGAAGACCTTTACTTGAAGGGTCACGGGTAGTTAAAAGGCAGGGTTTAGGGTTTAGGGTTTAGGGTCCAGGTTTTCGAGCTACTTGAAGGTTCATGGGTAGTTCCCTACATAAGGTTTATAACCAGGTTTATCCATAGTTACCCTACTTTTAACCCAGGGTTTAGGGTTAGGGTTTGGGGTTTAGGGTTTAGGGTTTAGGGTTTAGGGTTTAGGGTTTAGGGTTTGGGGTAACTTATACCCGTGAACCTCCAAGTCAAGCCAAGCCTCAAACGCAGAAACAACAAGGTGCTAGAAAAGAAAGGTGCTAGGGGTTAGGGTCTAGGGTCCCTAAACCCTAAACCCTAAGCCTTAAATCCTAAACCCTAAATCCTAAATCCTAAGCACTAAACCCTAAACAAAACCCTGCACCCTAGGGTCATTAGGGTTGAGGTTTGGGGGCCCTTGGGGACCTAGGACCTCCCCACAACCGCCCTCGCAGGGTGTGGAGGTAGGGGGTTTAGGGTTCAGGGTTCAAAGTTCAAGTTTCAGGGTTTAGGGTTTAGGGTTTAGGGTAATGTGACCGTGGAAATCCCCGGGCGTGCAGCTCCCCGCGGCAGAGCTCAAGGAGCGCATTGTTCCAGAAACCAAGAAGCCGGTTTAGGGTTTAGGGTTTAGGGTTTAGGGTTTAGCGTTTAGGGTTTAGGGTTTAGGGTTTAGGGTTTAGGGAAGAAGCCAGCGGTACCAGCCCCGAAGAACATGCCGGTGCGACCAAGCACAAAGAAGATGCCCCGAATTCCAGTTCGGCGTATTCCATGTCGGGACGCCCAACCCTAGACTAAACCAAAAAACCCTGAACCAAACAAGAGCTCGAGAGATTCCAGCGTAGTACCCGCAACCTGAACCGAAAAAGCCCGAAACGCCCAAAGTCCTGCAAACCCTGTAAGCCCTATAAACCCTACATATAAGCCCTTCAAAAAACCCTATAAATCCTATAAACCTCAACCCTAAACCCTGTAAACCCTGCAAGCCCCATAAACCCTTTAAACCCTGTAATTCCTATAAACCTTAACCCTAAACCCTGCACCCTAAACCCTGCAAGCCCTATAAACCCTTTCAACCCTGTAATTCCTATAAACCTCAACCCTACACCCCAAACCCTTAAAACCCTATAAACCCTATAAACCCTAAGAATCCTATAAATCCTATAAACCTAAACCCTAAACCAGAAACCCTAAACCCTAAACCCTAAATCCTAAACCCTAAACCCTAAACCCGAAACCCGAAACCCTAAACCCTAAACCCTAAACCCTAAACCCTGAAGGAACATCTACGGCGTCACCAAGAAGCGTGCCGAGGAAAGATGTGCAGGTGCGCCGTCGACGCCTCCACAAGAACCCTCAACCCAACACCCGCAAACCGGCTGTGAGGTTTCTACGTTTAGGGTTTAGGGTTTAGGGTTTAGGGGTTAGGGTTTAGGGTTTAGGGTTTAGGGATACTTGGAGGTTCATGGGCAGTTATCAGCGGGATTATAAGCAGGGTAACTATACTTGTTACCTTTTTTTGGGTTACGTAGAACCGTGCTCATTACTACCCATGAACCTCCAAGTACGGTTTAAGGTTTCTGGTCTACCTTACCTTAAACCCTAAACCTCAACCTCAACCCCAACCCCTGGGACCCTTCTGAGGCGCCTTAGGGATTCGTAGGGGTCATGTGAGGGCTACTTAGGTATGTATATGCAGTACATAAGGTATTTAGATATATGTATGTGTGTATATATATATAGGGGTTGTATAGGGGAATAAGATTAATGGTGCTTAGCCCCCAACCCCTAAACCCCGAAACCCTTCCCCATACGAAGCATTGCCTCCCTAAACCCTTTCCAGGACGCTACGTGACGCCCGTGGCAATTCTGAGATGTAGCCGCTTCTTCGCGGAGGAGAATCCTAGACCTTCAGGGTTCATTCGGGTTTAGCCTTAAGCTTTCAACCCTCAAAATCCTGTCAGCCTTCAGCCCTACCCTAATGGCTCAACTCAAGGGCGAAGGCCCTGAATCCCTCCTCCCCGAATTCTCAAACAGGTCTAGCATTGGGCTGGATGCCGGCAGGGTCCGGGAAAAATAATATTTAAAATTAGGGGGGGTTTTAGTTTTAGGGGGAGGGAATTAGACCCTGATTAAACCCTAAACCCTAAACCCTAAACTACCCCAAACCCCATACCCCATACCCCAAACCCCAAACCCCAAACCCCGAACCCCGAACCCCGAACCCCGAACCCCGAACCCCAAACCCCAAACCCCGAACCCCGAACCCCGAACCCCAAACCCCAAACCCGAAACCCCAAACCCCAAACCCTAAGCATGATAAACCCCCAGGACGCGTACGACACCTCTGTCTCCCAGGGCCACCGTAGCAGCGAGGGCTCCAATGGCAACGTGAAAGCAACTTGGCTAGGTTTAGAGTTTAGGGTTTAGGGTTTAGGGTTTGGGGTTTCGGGTTTAGGGTTTAGGGTTTAGAGTTTAGGACTTTGGGTTCTGGGCTTAGGGTTTAGAGTGGTTGCCTCACTTCCGAGGTGGAGAAGTAGGCACCGTTCATCCGCCTACATACCCTTCAAGAGATTCTACAGGGACCCCAATTCCCTTCTTCCCTACTGTAAGTTACCCGTGAAAACCCAGTAAGCCGACTTTGTAGAATTTTACTTGCTAGACACTCCATTCTGAAGCCAACATCCTAAACTCCCCAGGTGTGAAGGTCTTGATGATAGCGGTTTGGAAGTCTCGGTCTTAGAGGATTTAGGGTTCACACTGTTTAGGCAAACGAGCTGCTGTGCGGTGTCCGCGCCTCTCTGGAAGACATGCTGCCTGGCATGGCAGTTCTGTGGTAAAGCCTTTCCGCCAAACTCTTTAGGTGCAAGTGCATGTCTCACCCTAAATTTGAAACGTAAGCTACCGTGCCTTTACCGAGATTGTTAGTGGTCAAAGTTGTAAGACATGAGAACATGCAACAATCACTCACTAGCTAGGAAATTTGGGTCGGCAGAACTTCTTTTTTTCACAACCGTATTGCTTCAAGTTGGTCTGTTGCTGGATGTTTAATACATTGTTTGTGAGTTGCAAAGCCATGCTCGGCATCTATACTTCTTTCATATCACAGCAGAGTACGGTTGTTACTTAAGCCAATATAGGAAAATCTTTTGTCAGTTTTCATATGGCATTGACAATCGTTGACGATTTACCAAAAATTGTCACCCATTAAACCTGCTATCTAATCTAGCCTCTAAATGTTCGTCTGATGAATGCGCCATAAAACCCTACATCCTAAACCCGAAGCCCTAGAACTAAACCCGAACCCCTAAACCCTAATCCCGAAACCCGAAACACTAAACCCTAAACCCTAAACCCTACACCCTATGGTTAGTTTTCAACACCATGGTCCAGGATCATGTCTCACCTCCGGGCCCTGGCGCTCCTGGCAGAAGCGCCGAGGACGCCACGCGCCATGGCTACCTCGGTGGGTGTGGGGGCTTTTCGGTTTAGGGTTTAGGGTTTCTGTGTTCAAGGCCTCGGGTTTCGGCATTTCGGGTTTGTCGGATTTGGGGGAGGGGGGAGGGGGGAGGGGGGTTTGAACTTTGGTTAACCCGGGGTGACGTGGACTATAGTTTGGTTATAACTTTGTCTGGCCAGATTTAAGATACCCATGAAGCTTTCAGTAGCTCCTAAACCGTAAAGCTTTACTCAACCCTAAACCCCCAAACCCGAATTGTAATTAGGTTCGGGGCATTGGGATTTTAAGCATTCTTTGGGGTCCTGTAGAGCTTTAGGGTCTTCTTAAGGTATGTTAGATTTGTGGGCTTTGATGGTTGTGGGTTTTTTGGGCTCAGCATTCTCTGAAAACCTTGCTGCGCTCTAGATTCGAAATAGAAGGTTTGGGGTTTAGGGTTTAGGTTTTAGGGCTTCAGGGTTTAGGGTTTGAGTCCGTCTACCGACTACCACTTTTTCCTTTGCCGTGCTACACGCTCTAAACGCAAATCAAGGCAGCAACGCATACAACCTGAGCCCCTCAACTGCAACCCGAAGAACCTGAAATCCTAAAAGGGTTTAGGGTTTAGGAGTCGGAGAACCCGGAAAAATATCAACTACCTGTGACTCCCAAACCCCAGAAATTTGTAGGTGCTAAGCCTCGCAAATCAAGGCAGAACCCTCTTAATAGTAGGTAAGTAGAGCCCCTGGTAAGCCCTAAACCCTGAACCCCAAACCCATCAACCCGAAACTGCTAGACCCTAAGCCTGCAAACCCTAAAAACCCCTAAACCTACCCTGAATCCTAAACCCTAAACCCTAAATCCTAAATCCTAAACCCTAAACCCTAAACCCCACACCCTAAACCCTAAGCCTTCAGTTCATGAACTGCAGGCATGGTCTTAGGGCCACTGGTTGTGTCCGCAACCTCTCCGCTTCTGGAGGTGCCGTGCCTGTCGGTGTAGGGTGTAGGGCTTAGGGTTTACTTGTAGGTACTTATTAACCAATTATAACTGTACTTATAACAATGCTTATAGCCACATTATGGCACTTCAGGAGCCTACAAGTGGTTTATAAATACGGCATAATTTGGTTAGTAAGTGCTATGAACCTTCAAGTAGGGTTTAGGGGTAGGGTTTAGGGTTTAGGGTTTAGGGTTTAGGGATTAGGGTTTAGGGTTTAGGGTTCAGGGTTCAGGGTTTAGGGTTCAGGGTTTAAGGTTTAGGATTTAGGGTGGGCGTTTCTAGGGGTTTCAAGGTTTTTGTATGGAGGTGGTCAGGACCCTAGCCCTAAACCCTGGACGCTTAGGCCTTTCAAGCTTTAGGGTCTGGACTCTCCGAAGGGTTGAGGCGACGTAGTTGAGGATTCACCCCGACCGCGCGATCCCACTGAATGAAGAAGTATAAGATATTTACTACGAATAATATTCCCTTTTGTTCCCTTTCTAATCATATATACCCTAGACCCTAACCCCCCAGACCCTAAACCCTAAACCCCTATATGCTATGATAACTCCCAAAACCCTATTCTAATTCTTCAGGCCCCTATATTACTTAGGTTTCAGGGCTCAGGTCCTCAGGACATGGTAGTGGCGCGCCGTGCAAGAATAGTACACACGTTTTTGAGTGGGTAATTTAGGGTTTAGGGTTTAGGGTTTAGGGTTTAGGGTTCTAACCATGAACGTTTCTTTGTCCTTTTACTCCCCTTGAAAGCCCGATTCTTGCCCTAAGCCCTAAGAGCTGGGCCAGTAAGTTGCCGTAACACCCCAACCATGAACCCTCAGCCACTTTGTGTGTAGTTGAGTTAGTTGGTTTTGATTCGTTAAACCCTAAGCCCTAGCCCCTTGGGCCCTCGGATGCTCAAGAGCTTATGAATGTCTGTGTGTAGTATGGTGGTTTCCGTGTTTGGGGTATGTTATTGGGGGTCTCCACCTTTAGAGGGAGCCCTACTACTTGGGGTCTATTTTAATGAGCCCCCAGAATATGGGGCGGGCAAGGGCTTGGACACCTAAACTTCTAGGACCTTCCATAACAGAGACGTTTGCATAACCCTAAATCCTAAACCCTAAAACTCTAAAACCCTAAACCCTAAACCCTAAACCCTAAACCCTAAACCCTAAACCCTAAACCCTCTGAGCAACCGAGGACGGGGCCTTCGCAGCCGGCGACGCCCTGCAGCGGCTCTATTCCACCATGGGCTGGAAGATGCCAGACCGCTCCTTCGAGTGCGTTAGGGCCTTGAGAATTTTTCAGGGTTGAACCCTAAACCCTAAACCCTAAACCCTAAACCCTAAACCCTAAACCCTAAACCCTAAACCCTAAACCCTAAACCCTAAACCCTAAACCCTAAACCCTAAACCCTAAACCCTAAACCCCCAAATCCAAGGGTCGCTGGGCCCGACCAGGCCTCCTGATGATTAGGACCGATACATTCCTAATTACAGGGTCACTTCTCTAGGTTCCCTTGTTAGGGTGTATAGGGTTTAGGGTTTAGGGTTTAGGGTTTAGGGTTTAGGGTTTAGGGTTTAGGGTTTAGGGTTTAGGGTTTAGGGTTTAGGGGTGGGGTCACTATTGAAAGGCACTCCTAGCACCCCTTGAAGCCCAAAAGCCACAAACCCCAAACCCTGAGCTGAGGAGTTGGGCGCATCATCGACTCCCGTGACACGTGGCGCGCGCTCGCGTGGCAGCCTCGTTGGTCCATGGAGCCGTTTAGGGTTTAAGGTTTAGGGTTTGGGGTTTAGGGTTTAGGGTTTAGGGATCCAATAGTTGAACTTTAAACTTTTTGGGCTTCCTTACTCAGTAGGGATAATAAAGTTCAGCCTTTTATTCCCTTGGTTATTGGAGAAGGAGCGGCTAGCGCGCAACTTCGAAGATGTCGAGAACCGCGAGCTCATTGAGTCTGGCTGCTACTGAGCCATGGCAACAACTTGGGAGCGCAGTGGTACTTTTTTTGTTTTCATACTTTTTTTGGGTTTAAGGTTCCCTTATAAAGTGACCAACCCTGCCCTTACTAAAGTATGATTGCTGGGCTACCAAGACAGGGGGGTTGTTCTACATTCGTTGCTTTGTGTGCCTTCGGTCGATAGCGCAACGTACCTGACGGGCTACCAACAATGGCCTTCATCGCTTCTACATTTTCGGCCAAACTCCTAACTCCTTGCTGTATAAGAACCCAACAAGATCAAGAAGTCATGCCTCAGTGCGTTCACCTGTGGGGCTGTCATCCAAGAAGTTCTGGCCAGTCTGACAGCATAAGTTGACCGCAAGATGGGCGGTTCTCTAAAAGTGTACCAGGATGTACAGTACCAGGAGCTGCTGTCGCCCATAGACCCTGCGAACCCTGAACCCTAAACCCTAAACCCTAACCCTACACCCTTTTCCCTATACCCTGAACCCTATACCCTGAACCCTAACCCCCCCCCCCCCCCGCCCAACAGAAAAACAAGTGAAACATGGCGTGTCGAGTTCCCCCACACTGACCCCTAAATTTACTCGTAAGCACCAAAACCCAAGGCAAGCTCTAGCCCTGAACTCTGAGCCAATTTTGGGGTTTCGGTTTTAGGCTTTGGGGTTTGGGGTTTGGGGTTTAGGGTTTAGGGTCCAGGGTTTAGGGTTTAGGCTTTGACCCTCACTTCAGGGGTTCATGGGTAATGAAAAGGCTGCGCTTGTGTTACACAAGAAATACCCCTAAACCCTAAACCCTAAACCCTAAACCCTAAACCCTAAACCCTAAACCCTAAACCCTAAACCCTAAACCCTGAACCCTAAACCCTAAACCCTAAACCCTAAACCCCTAGATCCCTAGACCCCTAGACCCCTAGACCCCTGGACCCCTAGACCCCTAGACCCCTAGACCCCTAGACCCGTAAACCGTGAACATTCAAGCAGGCTCATCCTTGGGATGTTCCAACTGAAACTAACAGTCCTTAATAGGGAGTTTTGTAGGGGGTACTATAATCCCGATTAAGGACTGTTAGTAGAACGGGGAGCATCCCAACCCTAAACCCTATATCCTAAACCTTGAACCCTAAACCCTAAACCTTGAGCCCCAAACCCCCAAACCCCCAAACCCCCAAACCCCCAAACCCCCAAACCCCCAAACCCCCAAACCCCCAAACCCCCAAACCCTAAACCCTAAACCCTAACCCCAAACCCCGCATGAGGATCCGGCGTGGAGCCCTGTTGGCGGCTTCGGGGCCCCTTTCCGCTGCGCACGTCCGCGAAGGCCGAGGAGGCGGGGACGTGTCGATTTGTTTTAGTAGGGTTTAGGGTTTAGGGTTTAGGGTTTGGGGTTTAGGGCTTAGGGTTTAGGGTCTAGGGTCTAGGGTCTAGGGTCTAGGGTCTAGGGTCTAGGGTTTGGGGTTTGGGGTTTAGGGCTTAGGGTTTTCAGAGTTTAGGGTTTTCAGACTTTGGAGGGTTGAGGGTTTAGGGCTGGGAGTGGGGCATTGGGTTTCGAACTGGTGGTGATGGTTTGGCCGTGGGATGTTTCCGCCTCTAACAGTCCTTAATAGGGACTATGGTAGGGGTTACTATATAATCCTTAATAGGGTTTTTGGTAGGGGTTACTATATAAATCCCTCTTCAGGACTGTTCTAGTACAAGGGGGAACATCCCAAGTTTGGCCTTCCAAGTTGGGTACCCGGGGTGTTGCTAGTTTTTGGCTTGAATTCTTGCTTGCGAGGGTACTACGGGAATCATTGTCTTGTATCATTGGGGGGGTTCTGCAGCAATGGTAGCTTAAGCCCTGAAGCCGGAGCCCTAAACTGGAATGCCTGCTCTCCCTAAGGGTGCGTGTACCTATACAGTACATACTTGGGCCCTAAAGCTAGTATATCGGAACCCCTTTAAGGCCCATGTATCTATTAAATTGGTACATGGACCCTTTGGGTTTAGAGGCTTTGAGCGGTGGGTGGACGGCGAACGTCTAAAGCGTGGTGGCTTGCGACCACAGTTGCCTGCCACCAAACCCCAACCCCAGTTATTTGCACAGTTAGCCCCAAACCCTAAACCCAAGCTATCTAATAATTTAGTCCCAGACCCTAAACCCAGTTATCTACAAAGTTAGCCCTAAGGCCTAAACCTCCAAAGTTAACAGTTGTTTGTTTATTTGCCAGAAGTAAAAGGGGAAATCCCACTAAGGCCGCAGTACATGGGGGACCGAAATGACGCACCCTCTTTTTGGGGACGACGCGATGTGGCATACTTCTGGTAGCTTAGATTCTCTTGAAAGGCAGGGTTCAGGGTTTCGGGTGAACCCCCCTTCCGCCGTCTATGAAGCAGGCAGAGAACCAGGACGCGGCCGCTCGAACTCTACCAGCTTTCTGACGCGCTTAAGTGGACTCGACAGCTCATCCCGAGGGCAGTCAGGGTGTGGGTGCTAAGATGTATTCAGGGCTTGATCCTTTTGTCAAGAGAAGCCCGAAGCCCCTAAACCCTAAACCCCAAACCGCGAACCCTAAACCCTAAACCCTAAATTTTAACCCTAAAACCCTAAGCCCTAAACCAAAAACATCCATGCCTCCAGGGTAGTCAGGGCTTAGGGTTTAAGGCCCGGGTGCAGAGTGCTTGCTGGGCCAAAAGCGCGCTGGGGTTTTGGTGAACAGAACCCGGAGGTTGATACAAAGGTGAAATCACCTCCCCCTCATAACCCTAAACCCAAAACCCGAACACCCCCCAAATATTAAGTACTCTCCGTTATAGTGCCACTACTGTGAAGTAAAATGGGGAGTATTTAATATTAGGGCGGTTAGGGGGGGGTGGATTGATATTAGGGGAAGGGGATACAAGGTTTATAGGGTTTACGAAGGTGTAAGGTTTATGGTTTGGGGTTAGCGTGTGTGTTTTTTTAAACCTGGGGCCCTTACATCCCTTTGCTTTTAAAGTGCTCGGATCTCTTAATTGAACCCCTAAATAAAATCGGTGTTGTCCTCCCGAGGCTACTGGGAAACATGGCACTTTAGGTTGAGTTTAGGTTTAAGACCTGGGGTCGAGGGTTTAATCTAGGGTTAGGGGTTAAGGGTTAGGGGCTAAGGGTTTATTGCTTCAGTTTTTGCTTGCTGGAGGGCTGATTTAGTGCTCATCGGCTTTCCTGGGTTCAGGGTGAAGTGGTTCAAGCCCTAAACCCTGAACCCTAGTCCCCTAGACGGAAGGAGTTGGTGTTTTGATGTTTTTTAGGGTTTAGGGGCCCTTAAAGGGGTCCTTTTGGCTGCAAGTTCCCCAAATTCTAGGTACATTGGGCCCGCAGCCCAGACCCTATAACCCCTAGAACCCTGCTCTTCTAAAACCCAAGCCGTACTAGTTCAGGGCTTAGGGTTTAGGGTTGAGGATTCAGGGTTACCCTTAACCAAGCAAACCTTCACACCCCGAGCCCTACCTGGCCTCGATTGACCCACAGCTTTACGGGTTCGACGGTTGGGACCTCCCAATGGAAAGGCAGGCAAGCAAGCTCTGATGTAAGCCCTAAACCCGAATGCCCTAAACCCACAACCCTAAACCCCAAACCCCAAACCCCAAACCCCAAACCCCAAACCCCAAACCCCAAACCCCAAACCCCAAACCCCAAACCCCAAACCCGAAACCCTAAACCCTAAACCCTAAACCCTAAACCCTAGCCCTAAACCCTAAACCCCTCACAAGCCGACCTCGGCTCCCTTGGAAGGAAGCCGCGGTTGCCGGGTCCCTGGAATGCGGCCTAGGTAGGCTCCTGTATGAGATAGGGGTGCAGGGTTTAGGGTCTAGGGTTTAAGGTTTAGGGTTTAGTGTTTTGGGGTTTAGAGTTTAGGGTTTAGGGCTAAGGGATTTAGGGTTTAGGGGTTGCAGGGTTTGTGGGTTTAGGGTTTAGGGGCTAGGGGTTTAGGGGTTTTCGGGTTCAGGGTTTAGGTTTCAATCGATTAGGATATGAGCTTTATAGTGTTCATAAGTTTACAGGCATGAGGGTGTTTGCGGTTTTGGTGTGCAGGGTTTCGGGGTGATGAAGCAGCGCTCAGCGTTGATGCGCGCTACGGGGGTTTGGAGGAGGCTCGGATCTCAGTCAGCGATGTGTTGCTTCGGTGTTCCTTAAGCCTAAACACTAAACCCGAAACCCTGCATGCCAAGCCCTTAATCGGTCGGGTAGTGAGGTGTGCTTCTCGGTCGGTCGGGCATGCTGGCTTGCTAAGGTAAGCTTTAATAATTCGGTTCAAGTTTTTGCGTGTGAGGGCTTATGCGAGTTCTGGCTTCAGGTCTTAAGGGCTTAAGCATGTGGCCCCAGTCAAAAAAACCCAAACCTGGCTAATGCCCGACTCATTTTGAGGGCTACGCCAAGCCCTAAACCCTAAACCCTAAACCCTAGACCCTAGACCCTAGACCCTAAACCCTAAACCCTAAACCCTAAACCCTAAACCCTAAACCCTAAATCCTAAACCCTAAACCCTAAACCCTAAACCCTAAACCCTAAACCAAGCTCTAAGAGAATGCATCAGGTCAAGGTACTGCAGCTATGGGTCCGAGCAGCGTGGAGCTATTTTGAGGCCTTTGTTGGTGCCCTGCGCCGGGATCGCAGAGTTTAAGGTTTAGGGTTTAGGGTTTTGTGGGTTTAGGGTTAGGGTTTTGGGGTTTTAGGGTTTCAGGGTTTTAGGGTTGTAGGATTGTAGGGTTTTAGGGTTTGAAGTTTGGGGGTCCAGAGTTCGGGGTTTGGGGCGGTTGAGGGTTTAGGGGGCTAGGTTTTGACGGTATAGATTTTGGGCAGGGGTGGGGGTCTGGAGGGGTGGTAGTTCGGGATATTACTATGCTGCACTTGGAAGCTTCTTTTTTACTTAGTAAGTTTTCGTAAGAATCCCCATATTCCAACTTACTAACCGTAGTTACTAAGTGGAAAGGGCTTCCAAGCAGCGCTGTCAGGGCGCCGTACTGTGTAGGGGTTACCAAAAAGGC